AGTTTGAATGGAATGTTGAATTGCCAAATAATGTGAACTTTAACAACAGAAAACTTCGTCTGCAGTTTTTATTTGGGTTTATCTGGTGGGTCAGGCGAGTTTTTGAAGCAATGCATCAAAAAAGTAGATTGATCTCTAAATGAATCAATTATAAATCATAAAAATGTAAAATTCAGATAACAGTCTTCCGTTTATAGCAAAATAATGTGTCACAATATCAACATGCAATGCAAACTTATTCATGATTGTTTGTACCTTAATGTACCATTATTTTTGTTTACACATATTACAGCAACAAAAACATCCTGAATTTGGTCACTTTGAAGTTCATCCCAAATTTTTCATTCCAGTGGGTGTTCTTTTCACTATTTATCTGGGACTTAAAATATAACTACTGTATCTTTAGTCCGAGGTACTATTTGTTACTATTTTTATATAATGTTTGTTTATTTGTTATATTCATAATAAAAAGAAACAAACAAACAGACTTTGTTCATTTTGACTACTGTTTTGTATGTTTCAAACAAAATACATAATTATGATATAATAATGAGCAAGGCTACCAAAGTAAACGATGAACAATGTCTTTCGTCAGCTATGAAAAAGTATAATATACAATTCTGGAAAATTCAATTAACCATTGAAAAGTTTATTAGAAAATATCTTGTCGTGAGATGATTACTAGGTCATCGTCAAATGTTGCATTTCTTGCTTGGACGCCCTTTGATGCTTTGCATCAATGCTTTTCTTCTAAATCTATATAATGGGCTGCTTGACATTTTCATGAAGGGTTTAAGGGCTTAACACGGCACTTTTGAATTCAGATAGGAACTTTCATATGAGGAAGTTACAAACAAATAGTAAGGAAAAGCTGTTGCTGCACATATAGTTTCCGGTTCGTCCTGCATGAATAATGAACGGAAAACGGTTAAGTAGCGATATGATCTAAACCCGAATGTCACTTGAAATCATCCCAACAACAACAACAACAAAATCATTCTTCGAATGACTAACTTCATTGTTACACTCATGATATTAAGAAAGAGTTGCAAAGTTGTGCATCTTGACCAATTCCTTGAATTGAACAATTACTAAAAGGGCACAGTATTAACATTAATCCTCATTGACCATGGAGAACACACAGTATGATTGTTTGCTGCGAACCAAGGTTCCCGTCTTATGATTTTCATAGACGCACGGTTCTTACGCCTGCGCAGTATCACGGGTCGGTCTAAAACGCAGACGCTTATATGCAGACAATAAAGGATATATAGTAAACGCAGACAATATAGAATGATATAGAGTGTTTTCACAAAACACAGACAATATAGAATAAGAAGGTGTAAATAAGATACTTAGAAGCTGTTTAGATTTGTATGTTTAAGATCAAAAGTTTAAGATATTAGAGATTTGTAGGTATAAATATTTGATAATAGATTAGATTTTTTATTAAGATGATATAAATTAAGAAATAATAAATAGTGATATTAAAAAGATTTTTTGACATACTATGCTTGATTTGTATTAACTTTTATGAATTTAAGATAAAATGTCTAATATAAGTTTTGTTAACTTTAATAAGCAGAATTTTAATGGGGACAATAAAGTAAATTTCAAAACAAATTTAAAAAACAGAACATATTTTTATTTGATTTTTATACATAGTCCATCTACAAAGTAATCATTAAATAGTTTATAAAACAATGTTACAAAGCATTTATAATTATTAAAAAAAACAACAATGTGATGTAAAAATATAAATATAATTATCATTAAAAAAAATATATGTACAATATCAAATGACTTTATATATCTATATTGTCTGCTTTTCTTGCAATTACTATATACTCTTTATTGTCTGCATTTTACTATATGTTCTATACTGCTAATAAACCTAGAGTAAAATGCACACGATATAGCGTATAAAGTAACTGCGAGAAACGCAGACAATATAGATATATAGTGAAAATAAATTTTGCAGACATGTATAGCTTTTATTTACAGTATAATTATAGTAAAATGCAGACAATATATAGTATATAGAACTTGCGAGAAACGCAGACAATATAGATAAATAGTGAAATGAATTTTGCAGACATGTATTACAAGCCAACTTGTACATGTACATGTAGTTATATTTGATTTTTTACATTATTTGTTGTTTAGTACTAAAGAAAATTAATAACAGTCTTACATTATATCAAAATGTGTTTATTGGGGCTAGATTAAAGCAATATGAAGATCAATCATCATTTACCACTTTCTAATTTCTAATTTTACTTGAATTAATTTACTGTTTCACATTTCAGAACAAACTGCTCATCTTTCAGAAAGAAAAAGAAACACATATGTCTTGGATGAATGACACACTATTCTCACCCTAACCAGTTCCTCCGTCTGACAGTTCTCACTCGAACCGTTTCCATCATTTTCCTCCCCTGATAGCCCCCACCTCCCTAAAGAAATATCATATATTTATTTTCATTTTTTTTTCTTCACAGGAATTTAAGTTTTATTTATATTATTTTCTCTCATGGTGAGAATTATTGTAAGCAACATTTTTATTTTATGAATAATATTATTAAGGAAGCAGTTTCAAATTTTGTTAATTAAAGTATAATATGCAATTAAGTTGTTGAAACTTTATCAAGTTCTTAAGATCATAGGTTTCTTTAATGAAAATTAACCAAGCTGATAGTCGGCCACAACTAAATGACCACTCGGGCAATCCAATAGTTGCACTTGGTGCCTGAAAGGCCTACTTTTTCTACGACCTTGTAGCATTTACAGGAGGCACGGCAGCCATTTGTTTGATCTACGACTGCTTCTCAGCGATCGTAGAAAAAATGCACGATCTAACGATAATCGTACGATTATGAAAATCTGCGACGTTTGATAAGACACCGCCAAAATCGTACGATCGACGTTCGACAATCGTACGATAAAAACGGTCGTACGGCCGTTGATAAGACGGGCCCAAGGATTTAAGAAAACCATGTTTTATTCTACACATTAGCTTTATGTATTTGTGATGACCTACCAAGATATCCGTGATACTTAAAATTATTTACTAGAATCTTTGACAAATATATTATCTCGCTAGTAATAAAATGTAGTTCTGTATGAAGATGGACGATTCTTTGACTACATTTGACATACGAGCGTATATAAAAGATATTGAATGAGTGTATGTTTAATACTGAATTTATTGAAAGAGTTGAATAAATCATATTATGTGAGCCTAATATTATTTTATTCAATGAGTTCAATAAATTAAGTATAAATTAATATAAACATACACGAATTTAAAATTCTATTTATCACATACCAAAAAATAGAGAATGTGTGAATTGAAAAATAACCATTTTCATTGACGCGCATATAGTTTAACGCTTACATTTAGCGCTTCTAAATGCTGTTTTTGTATAACCTAAATGACGTGACGTCATTATATATGTACGACCGTGCAATACCAATTTAAGCTCACCTGAGCTAGCTCAGGGTAAGCTTTTAGGATCGTTGAATGTCCGTCGTCTGTCAATTGTATGTCGTCCGTCCACATTTGTTCGCCAACACTCTAGTGGTGACATTGTTTGCCCCAATCCCCATCAAACTTTGGCAAGTTGCTTGTCTAGGTGATTGCTCGGATGATTTCGAACATGGGTTATCTCGGATGAAAAACAAGGTCACAGGAGTTAAAAATATTAAAAATCAAAGTTAACACTCTAGTGGCTACTGTTTTGATCTAATTATCTTGGAAATTGGTCTGAAAGTTTGTTTTTATGATTTTTAAGTCAATTTCGAATTTGGGTCTCCTATGGTGAAAAACTAGGTCACACCGCCCAAGGATGAAAGAGGCTTATTAACACTCAAGTGGTTATATTTTTTACTCAATTGTCATCAAACTTGGTCAGGATGCTTGTCTTGTTAATTGCTAAAATGTGTTCGAACATGGGTCATATCAAATAAAAAATAGGTCACAGGAGCTAAAATAGAAAAAAAATCTTGTTAACTCTCTATTCGCTACTGTTTTTATCCAAATATTCTGGAAATTGGTCTGCAAGTTTGTTATTATGATTTCTAGGTCGAATTCGAATATGGGTAACCTGGGGTCAAAAACTAGGTCACACTGCCCAATTATGGAATAATCTTGTTAACACCCTAGATGTCACATTTTTGACTCAATTGTCATCCAACTTGGTCAGAATACTTGTCTAAGTAATTGCTCGGATCAGTTCGATGGGTCAAGTGAGCGATATAGGGCCATCTTGGGCCTCTTACTACGGAGTCGTAAAAGCAGCACGGGTATGTGATAAAGACTGCAACCGACACGAAAGTGCACTACCACACTCCTCAAAGATTTTGACAAAGAAGATAAACGACAACTTTACATAAGTTACTTTACATAAGTTGGTTGACATACATTATGATATTCTTTGTATTTTTCTTTGCTTTACCCCAAAAATATTGAACGTCGGATACATGTGTTTGCTCTACCTGGAATTATTTGTCACTTAATGTACATATTTCTACCCAAAGACTAATAGCAAATATGTCTTGAATTCCCAAACATAAAGTACCAAAACTTTTCTCACAGCACAGATGACCAAATAAAATCATGTCCAACAGGTGACAGATTACAACTACGTCTGCCATTTTTCCAATAAAACGATACTGTCATTTTTGCCTTTCACAATGTCTGACAATTTTCCTCTTCACAAACGCTTCAATTTTACCCTCAGCAATATCTAACACTAGTGAATCTATACAACTATGGTACTGTAAATGTGCCTGTCACACGATCCTAGGCAATTGTTTGATAATCCAAGATACCCGTGTCTCTTCCGTGCTTTAAGACGACCGGGTCTGTTAGTTTGCACTGCATTGGTCTGCTAACTCACTATAAACATGTCAAGAAGGTGATCATATATAACGCTGCACGACTCTTTAATACCACGCGGCCAATTTCTTTATTGATAAATTTGTTTCTATATTTTCAGATTGTTTATGGTAAAAGTTATGATACGGGAACGCTGAATGGTATAACTTTCGAATGTTCAAAAGGTATTGAAATGTTACGATACATGACTTAAAAATAAACAAAAGTTAGAAGCTGCTGTCAATTTGTTATAAACTGAGCTTCTCATAAAGTTAAGTTATCTAAATTATCCGCGATGTCAATTTATAGCCTTACGTTAAAATTTTCGTCGATGGTAACCTGAATTATATAACGAAAAAAAAACTGCATGTTTTATTTTTGAATATGTTTATAGTTTGAAGAAGAAACAATCCCTAATGAACGGCTTTTCTTGACTATAGCAAGCCTATTAGAAATGAATGTGGTGTAATTATAAAATTGATGCATCTATTTATATTGATTTACATAGGTTTCTCATTTTACGGCGGTAATTGTTACAAGGCAATAGATGTTCCAGCAACAGTAGCCGTCGCCTATAGTGTCTGTTTTGGGTAAGTATCTGAAAAAGTCTAACATATAAACTTCGTCCAAATACTAGAATCTAGCACCTTACTTCCATTTTTACAGTTGAACAGTTAGAGGTTAGGAAAAGAGTTAGCAGCCACTCAATCCATCAACGGGAAGAAATTCATATAATGAAAATATCTCAAATTAAAAAAAAAAAACTTACTAAATCTAAATGCCTGTCACTGTTAGTTTTACTATGACCATAGTGATTTATATTGGCTAAACTTTAACATAATACTCTATGTAAGAGAAACGTGATCGACAAGACTCCAAAAACAAACCGTACAACACAGCCACTCCCCTGCCTTGCTTAACAACCTAAGTGTGTTGTTATTTATCCTGGTTAAACTCTAACATAATTATTCATATAAGGAAAACGTGATCGACCATATTCCAAAAACAAACCTTACAACAGCCACTACCCTGCTCTGCTAAAAGGCTTAGAGGCCTTAGAAACTCCCCTATAAATCAGTTATAAACGCAATAACTATGTGCCTATCGCACGAACATGTCTCGCCTAAAAGCTAATGGAGCATGTACTTGTCGGTACTCCAATATCATGTCTTTGTATGACTAGTTTTATATCGAAAGGACTTATATACATGGTTTCAGATTAAAATATGGCCGTAAAATCCAGCTCATCACTTTCTCACAGGAAAGTCTTCAAGTAGTGTTTACTACGTGTAGGGTAAATTGTGCTGCCGAGATATCCCCCTAAACTTTCAGATATATAATCTAATTTCAGAGATTGGCGACATAACATAAATTGTGAGGATGCTCAAGCAAAGTAATGACAAAATATTAAAATGATCTCTTGTACTCAAATCACGTTAAAATGACAATTTTAAAGTCCCAGCATGAATTTCTGTATACATGCTTTACGAAGTTAATACGCCAACAAAATCATAAAGTAGGTTTGAAACAAGTGATGTGATTTGAACAAAACCTGGAAGTTACAATTATAGAAATTGGGGATATTGTATGATTGAAACATGTCTAAGTCATTCATTTCAGATGTTCGTTAACGTTTCCAGAATTCCCTGTCTTTGACAACTATTGTGAATTCCTAACATTCTTACCTGATCCATGTTGGTCAAGTTAGGTAATCACCATTTAAGTCTTTATAACGAGAAATGGTTTGTTCCTGTAAGTGCCTAAAGAATTTATTTGAAGTCATTTATAGACTAATGAATAAAAAAAATCAAAATGAAAAAATGACAATTTTGCCTGTGTCTCCTTTTAAAGAGATCAAATACTTTTCACGGATGGCACATTTCTTTATAACATGCATAACCGTTTATTAAGCGAACTAAAGGCAAGTCGCATGTTATGTTTAGAAATCTATTAAAAGTAACAAATTGGTGATAAGACAGGAAACTTGTGAATGGTTGTCAAAAATATGGTGGCTAATAAAATGCAAAAAACAATAATATTATATTTATAACAAACTTACTTTTCATGAAACAGTTTAATATTTTATATCATTAGACATGTCTGTTAACTCATATTTTATACATTATAAAAAAATTCATTATTTTGTTTTATTCTTAGTAAAGAGCTTAAGTGGTGCTGAAAACTATTGAAATCAAAGTTGAAAAATAGCCGAGTTTTCTTTTACAAAAGCAAAACATGAAAATCGGATTAAATTTCAAACACATGAAAAATATGAATATAAAGAACTTTAAAATGATAAAGAATCTAAATAATCGATTCAAAAATAAAAAGTAATTAAAATTTTAAAATTCTGCTGCTTAATAATGTATATAAATATTAGCTCATTTGCCATCTATAAAATACGACCCTACAAGTTATTAAAGCACTGAAATCGAGTATTGAACGCAATTTATTTATTACTAACAAACTTCTTAAACAAGCTTATTGCTACCATCAATTGCGTAAATATTTTACAAAGTTTTAGCATCGTAATTCAGACTTAGTTTTAAAATTTAATTGTAATTTAAAAACTCTTTTACGACTAGGTTTTCCTCTTTTGATTACATCGTCGGGCCTTTGTAGGTGATTTTCTTGTTGCTCTGCCTTCCTTTAAGGCATCGAATACTTTGGTATTGGTCATAAGGCTGTACCTTTTTCTACATATTTACACAATTTGTTACGTGTTTTATTTACATTTTCGTGTCATTCAGGAACATATTGGGGCTAAGAGTGAGGTTTGGCGGGCCTAAAACCGGTTTAAACTCCCCAGTGGTTTTACAAACACTGACCGTTCCAAGGTTGTACCACTCTATGTTTCTTAACATGTTTTTCATGTCTGTATTGTTACTTGTTTTGGATGTTTACATTTGTGTGATGTCTGTCTTGTTGGTTTGTCGTTGACGGTAGGTGTTTTCTCAATTTCCCCCTCTCCCATTTTTTACCACCCCCACCTTTTCACCCTTACAGCCCTTATCCCTTTCATTCCCTTATGTACCCGTTTTAGTGTAAATTATTTCACATAACATGTCCCACTCCTTTCACCCTTATGTCCACTCCCGGTTTTTGTTTGGTGCCTTCTGGGTGCCCTACTTGAGTGTGTTGAAAAACATAAAAAAAAACATTATTTGCAAAAGAAAAGCATCAACACAAGTCTTTTTCTCCGGCATCATAAACACACCGTACAATCAAATGGGCAGACAGCTGTTCCAGCGTCCACAGCTGTACCAGTATATACATGTCGGCGCGGGGAATACAATTGACGTACGATAAGTATTTATCTATTTTTAACATATCCGAACTGTGTTCGAGTAAATCAATGTTATGGATTTCATAGTCAACATCCAAAGAAGCATGCTAACAAATTTCTGGTCCTGTGCAAGCTTTACTTCAAATGAATTATGACTGAAAATAACCACACTATCCGATGAGATGCGGTATTTTTAGTTTGAAGTCACAAAAACTTATATTTTCTCATGATAATTAATCCTTTTTTCATACGATTCGTAAACGTCAACATTTTGTCATTAAATATTCCAAACCATACCTTCAAAAAAGCTTTTCTGTTAAAGTTATAAGGTATTTAAGTTTGAGTGTCATCAAAATTTTAGTAACGTCATCAGCTGTTCGCCTCTTTTTAACGATAACATCGACAGCAATTCATCGGCAAGGATGAATAACGCTGAAAGCTGTTCAAAGAAACAATTTTCAGAGCTTTTGTCCTACAGTCACTAGGAAAAAGTAAAACTTTTTTGTTCATTTAAAATATTACTTTATTCATGATACTTTCTAATTATATTATTTTTATTATTACTTTCTATCATTTGTTGTATCTTAGCTGTGAGGCCTTTATCTCCATTAACCGCACTGTATTTCAATATTGATATTGTTCATATGAATGAATGAGTGAGTGAATGAATGAATGAATGAATGAATGAATTAATTAATTAATAAATGAACGAACGAATGAACAAACGAACGAATGAAGCAATATACGTATATGTTAAAACAAATTGTCTGTAGAAAGTATATGAGTTGTAATATTATAAAAATTACATATCATACATTCATTTTTCTTCCTATGCATGTCCTGTTGTTGTTTTCTATTTCAGAAGGCCACATTGGAAATAAGATATATATGATTTTTATTGTATGTTATTAATGTATAACCTTCTTTAAATAAAAATATTATTTTTAACCAGGTTTTCCGAAGGAAAAAACTGGTTATTAGATTGAGGTATGTCGGCGGGCGGATGGGCGGACGGGCGGGCGGGCGTAAACAATTTCTTCTATGCGCAACTCCTTCTACATTTCTCAACGGATTTTGACCAAACTTTCACAGAAGCTTTGTCATCAAGTGCCCTGGCGCATATTGTCGGGGTTTTGCGATTGGATACTATTTGACCTAATTATGGCCCTTTGTTTTTTTTCCTTATATAGAATATATAGTGAACAATTTCTTCTGTGCGCAACTCCTCCTACATTTCTCAACGGATTTTGACCAAACTTTCACAGAAGCTTTGTCATCAAGTGCCCTGGGGCATATTGTCGGGGTTTTGCGATTAGATAATATTTGACCTAATTATGGCCCTTTGTTTTTTTCCTTATAAAGAATATATAGTGAACAATTTCTTCTGTGCGCAACTCCTCCTACATTTCTCAACGGATTTTGACCAAACTTTCACAGAAGCTTTGTCATCAAGTGCCCTGGGGCATATTGTTGGGGTTTTGCGATTGGATAATATTTGACCTAATTATGGCCCTTTGTTTTTTTCCTTATATAGAATATATAGTGAACAATTTCTTCTGTGCTGAACTCCCTCTACAATTCTCAACGGATTTTGTTCAAACTTTCACAGATAATATTATAATATAAAAAGGTAGCAAGATCTATTAATATGTTTCTGAAATGTTAAATTCAAAGAAAGTAAAAGCAAATTTAACGCTGAATACGAATACTCTGTATTATAACTAAATCCATCAAGTGTTATTATAAATAATGGCATATAGTAGACATGTCCCATGCAGTAAATGGATGTGTAACCACAGATGTCTGCCATGTAAAATGATTTATTTAAAAAAATAAAAAAATTAATAATTTTTAAGAATGGTTATTATTTCTATTGCACTATACATTAAAACAGATTTCAAGGATAAATAACAACATGTTTTCCATGCACTTTCATAATTTGGGTTACACAGCCATTCACTGCATAGGACTTGTCCATTATATGAATTATTTATGATAACACTTGATGGGTGCCTTCATTTACAAGACTGAATATTAAGCGTTAAATTTTCCTTTGCCTTTTGACTTAAACATTTCATAAACCTATTACAGGAACTCAACTGAGGTTCATAAGCCTAAAAACATGAAATTTTATTTTTTCACATAAAAAAAACATGAGCACTAAAACATAAATATTAATAAAATATAACCAAGAAATATAGGAGAAATACATTGAAAATCATATGTTTGTGCTATTCTCAGTGCGAGTGAAAAGCGTTTAAACTCTTTTCAATTTTGGGTCATTTTTTCACTTTTATAATATTC